CACACACACACACACTCGGGGTAACATTCACAATAACCGACAAACCAGAATACCAGAGACAGGAACTAATATAGGACAGATAACGAGGGGCAGACAGGTGAGCACAATGAGCTGATTAACTAATAATTAGCACGGGCTAAACCAACAAAAGGGGAAGAAACCACAATAAACAGTCCACAGGGGCGTTACAGTAAACTTGCTGGGTAGCGCACCTGGTACAGTATTGCACTTGTGATTTGATGACTAAATGTAAATGTGATTGTACTCAGGTACTCGAGTCCCGTGAAACATGAGTTGTGATCAAAAAAAGCTTATAGACTTGTAGAAACAAGCTAAAATGGCATAGCTGATTTGCTGACACTATTAGGTTTAGTTGGTATTTTAGTTTAATATATAATAGGGAAGTAACCTTTTGGCATCACTCACTGGACATTTCACTTTGAAATGTTGCGAAGCGTGCAAGAAGCAATGTAATATCATCTTGCAGAAATGTGCCACAGTCACGTTTTTTTCAATGAGTCTGGGTTGCATAATACTGAAGACTTCAAGAGAAACTTGCATCAGTTTGTATTATACCCACTAAACTGAAGTCAGGCTCAGATTCATGCCAAGACCCTTACTGCATACGCATACTGAGTTGACTAAACTTAAAAAAAAAATAACTTAAAAAATTAGCAATTAGTTTGAACTTTAAGCATGTAACTTAACTTTAACTTCAAACATTTTAAGTCAAAATTATCATTTACATACTGCTGTTTATTTGTGTTAAATAGCTTCAAACAGTGAAGTCAGCATTACACATAGCATATTTGGTAACTATATATATATATATATATATATAAACTTGATGTAAATAATAGGTTTGTTCAGTGATGTCATTTTTTTTTTCAGAGTAGGAAGAAAATGTACCTTTAAAATGAAAAGGGCCCAAGACCTCTAATTACCATCATTGCATGAACAAAACACATATATTTAACTAACTAAACAACATAAACAAGATTAAATGGAGCTAAAACCTCTATTAATTCTAAATGACAGCTATTTACACAGTCCTATAGATATTTAATGTATTCAGGAGCAAGGGATTATGGGTTTCCCTCAGCCACAATGCTTGGTAGAAGATTTATGAAGGTCTTTTCAACTCAACATTACATCAATCAGTGCACTATAGAAATCAGTGCTGTGTTTGTCTTGTTGCTTGGCAAACTGAATTGAAGAGTTGGTTTGTTTTTAAAATGTAAACTGTTTCTATCAATGAAAGCACGAGTTTAATTAAGGGAAGCATGAATAACCCATTTAAACAACACGTTTTACGCTGTCAGATTATACGGCACTAAAACTGTACAAGTGAAGGCAATTTGAATATCCTTTGAGACACGAGCAGCATTTGCCTCATGGAGAAACTTTCCTGTTTGCAGAATATTGATTAGCAAATGTGTTCTCTGTTTCCAGAGTTATCATCCACCTCCTGATATTAATAGATGGTGATAGGTTATGTAACACAGTTACTCATATGTTTGTCTGTGAATGCATTCTTTCCGTATCCATCACGAAGGCTCTTCACTGTAGTGGTCTCTCTTATCTCTTGTGAAGCGCTGGTTTGATAATTGCCTGTTCAATGAGCACACATCATCCTGGTGTTTGTAATCGGCTCAGAGTCGTTTGAGTCAGAATCGCCCCCCGGCAGATCCCAACAGCAGCGGTGAAGTGGGGCGTTTTCTTACGCGTGGTTGTACTGAACAGCTTCATAATACATTGTTTATTTAGAGGGAGCTAAAGACACAAAAGACCTACTTACATGTACAGGAATTTTGTTTTTCCACTGACGCTGGTTATGATTAAGAAATACATGCTTTTCCTAGAAATATGTATGGATGTGTGCCACAGCGGTCTGTCGGATTCTTCAGACATGAGACAAATTGCGTCCCATAACTTAACATTTCCACTTAAATATTAATCACAGATGATCACTACAATGTTCTCAACACAAATCTACCATTTAATTTGATTTTCTCTTTATTTGATCAAAATTTACATTACGTCATCACGCACTCCTGCAGAATGAGGCTGTTCTCAATAACTCAATACCTATATTCAATTTAGATGAAAATCCATATTTAACTAAATAATATATGTGTGTATTTTAAAAGTAACATAGCTACCATATTCTGACAGGAATAACAGGTTCATTTTGAAAATATACCTTTTTTTACTGTAAGGTTTTACATCTGTGACTGTGTCCCTACGTCTTCTAAACACTCAAATTAAATTAAATTAAATTCATTTCTAAAATCAGGCAATATCAAAACCACTCTTCATCTTGCCTTGATATTATTTTTTCTCTCTCTCGGATTTCACCTCAATTGTGTTACAGGGGACAGACAAGGATGATGAGATGCAGATCTAGTTGTAGTTTAAAAGTTTATTAACAAAATAAAAGGGAATCCAAAAATGGCAAGAAACAAACACAACAGCTTTACACATGACATGCAAAGACAATAACGGCAAAGGAACTAAGGAAACTGAGGGCATGTAAATACACAGAAAAATAAGAAACTTAACAAGAGGGATGTAACGGTATGAAAATTTCCTATCACGATTATAGTGACCAAAATTATCATGGTTATCAGTATTATCACGGTATTGTTAAAACGTGATGGAAATGTTCAGAAAGCACATAAATCACTTAAAGTTTTATATTTAAAATCAACAATCAACAAATAAAATGACTTTTTGTTTGCATAATCACTAAAACAATAACATTACCAATGATGTCTGGATTTTAAATGACAACATGACTGACAACAGTTTATCTAATAACATGTACGAAATGTTCCAATAAAGCTTTGAAAAAATGTCATAAAAAGGTAAACCTCACATTTCAGCCTTTAAATAAAGAAAAGGGTTAAGTCAAAATGATAATTGATTAATAAATGATTATATGTATTTTATCTGCTCCATAAATAATTCTAGATAACTTATCTGAATTGTTTAAATGTGTAGAATCCACATAAGCTTGTTTTTCATCAACCGATCAAAATTTACAGCAGGGCATGCAAATTCGGTCTGTTTTTTTGGCCAGACAGAAACTGCACACAGATTGAATGTGAATGTAAGTCTCTGTAAATCCACTCTCTGACAGCAGGTGGCACTTATGGAACAGCAGAATTACAGCTGTTTCCCTTAATCTCCATGGACTAAGCAGCATTGTGATTAAAACACCACTTTATTAGGTATTACATGGAGCGAAGTGGAAAACAAAATGCCATCGAATCTTTTCTGAAGACAGTCAGAATCTTCAGACGTACATTCATATAATTAATTCATTCATATATTCATTTGTATAATTCCCTTAGCACTCTTAAAACCTCCCAGCTTTTCCGCGGAGAGCATTTATTTATCCTCAATTGTTCAAATCGCGGTAATCGAATATGGTTATAATGATAATTAAAATTTGAAACGGTAATACTAACCGTGGGGAATTTTATCAGGATTCATCGTCAAACCGGTAATCGTTACACTTACATCCCTACAAGACACAGATGAACATAATCAATCAACCAGCAAGGACAACGGGGCTTTGGATGACCTCCATGGTGGGAATGAACTAACTTAGGGAGGCTTCCATGGCCGGGATGCTGCATCTTGGAAACTGGACTGGCAGAAATGACAGACCTTGGAAGCTGGACGAGACCAGTGGGGGAGGAAGGATTCTGGAAGGGACCAGGATCTTACACTAGCCAGACGGGCCTGACAGAGGAAGAGCTTTGAGGCTGGGGACACAGGTGGGACTTCAGGATGTTGAACTGGATTAGTGCTCCTTCTGGAACGGACATGGTGGCTGCCTCTAGCTCCAGAATAGACATGGTAACAGGCTCAGGCTCCAGGACGAACATGGCTTCTGGCTCTAGCTCAATGATGAATATCTCTACTGGCAGAAGGTCCGTGGCGAGCATGGGCTCAGGCTCTGGGTATGTGGTGGGTGCATGGTGGTCAATGTTGTTCTCCACCTCACCCATGTTGAAAAAGGAGCTGTTTGTTGCAAGCATCAGCTCAAAGTCAATACATTTCCCTTGAGGATCACATACTGAAATAGGAAATTGGTGTTTTAAATTGTCATTAGTCCAAACAAATGGAGAACCAAAGAAGTCCAAACAAATGGATAACTTTTAACAGAGCCCCCAACTTAAGAAGCAGATCCCCAACAACAAAACCAAGAGTCCAGGAGAGAGGTGGAGCTGAGGCGGACTGGGGGAGGGTGGAGGAGGGCCTGGAGACTGAAGCCAAGCCAGCAGAACAAGAAGCTATGCCAAAGTAGGGAGCCAGCAGAGCAGGAGGCCAGGGCGGAGCTGACAGGACAAAAGACCGTCTCAGCAGAGCTGGAGACCACCACAGCGGAGCAGACGGGGCTGAAGATCCCCAGAGTTTGAGAACACCCTCCTTGGCTGTGACAGGACAGGCAACTGGTCCAGTGTTGGCCTTCATGGCTGTGACAAGACAGGCAGGGAGTTCTAGGCGACCTCGGTGTTCATAACAGAACATGCAGGGAGTTGTGTAGGACCTGGAGTGATTGGCGCTGCCTCTGGAGGATCAGGATCAGACACCGCCACCTCGGGAGGATCTGGAGCAGACGGTGCAAACTTGTGTACAGACCAAACACTCAGAAAGGCAGTGGCCTTTTTCTGGGAGCGCTGCAGATGGTGGAAGGACCTCTGAGACCACCTGACTCAGATGTGCTGGAAACACGGTGCTTGAGAGCGCTGAGGCTGTGGGGATGCTGGCCACTCGTACCAACCTAACCGGTGGGTCCCTCCCAGCAACAGCTTACCAACAACCAAAGACAATGTCTGACAAAGGCTGACTGAAACACTGGGCTATACACACACACACGGAAGATAACAAGGAAACTAGACACACCTGGTAATACAATCAAGGGGACCAATGAAACAAAAGGGCTACAAAGGAACTACCCAAACAGGACACTGGAAGTACAATTTAAAAGTCCAAACAAACTGAGAACATGTAACAAGCACGCATACGAAACGCAATAAACACTGTCATGTTATCTTGCGCTCAGATGCCTGAAGTTTCATGAGATCATCTGCCCAATCAGTCCTGCTTGATAATGGTAAATGAACTTAGCTTGTTGTACTCGATGGAGCCTTGAACCAGAGGCTCAAGCTCTAAGTAAGAACCCCCCTCTATGGATGTACACTGTGGAGGAAGAAAAAGAAAAGAGAAAGAAAAGAAATGGAGGAGGAGAAGGGGAGGCGGAGGGATGCAGGAAGAATTGTCGCTGGGATGTAGCAGCGACTTCTGCTTATATACGCTCGCACCGGTAATTGACAGGACTGAAAGATTAGGCTCCTCCTGAACCTATGTTTGGAACTTCATTTAGTAACATTATCGTGTTAGATAGTTCTGAGAAATAATTATACAAAATTATTTTGATGACGGACTTTTGCTCAGGTAAAGTCAACAAACTGTCATCCTGTGTGAGACAGAGGAGACAGATAGATGCTAGGTCCATTGTATTTCTTGGTCTAGTATTCTGTCATGGTGCAATCAGGCAAAGATAAGTAGATGAGGATCTAGTTAAAACTTAACACTTAGTTAAAATACAACAAAGAAAGAGAACCCACAAATGGTGAGAAACAACAAACTTAACAGCTTTACCCACAACATGCAAAGACAATACCAGACAAGGAACTAAGGAAACTGAGGGCATGTAAATACACAGGAAAACAAGGAGCTTAATAAGACACAGGTGAACATAATCAATCAACTGATGATTAACTATAGAAACCAAGGGAAAAAGGACATTGGGACTACACATAGGAACAGCAAACAAAACATAACAGATTGTATGTGCATATATTTTGACATACTGATAGTGCTGACACCTTTTGAGTGCAATCAGAAACATACATTTTTTGAGAAAATGCCACATGGAAAAAGCAGAAGATGTAGGCCTACCCAAACATAAATGATTGATTAATGATTACTTGACACATGCTTTTATTTCTGCACTTCTGTACCTTGTCCCATTGAATGTATGAAGATGTTTAAAGATTAAACAATCCAGTGAACATGTTCTGTGAATTATACTATTACTATTCGAGTGAATGCCATATTTTGGCAGTTTAACTTGTTAATATTTGTCTTGCCAGGCAGACGACGCTCTCAGTGTATCTGCTGTCGTTTGTGGGGATGGTGATCTATGCTTTCACTCTGAACTTGGGTCATCTGTGGGTTGTGTTCCTCACATCAGGAGCGCTCGGGTAAGAGCTGCAGACAGTGACAAAAAACCTGCAGTGGACACAGAAGTGTTGTGACATTTAAGGCACACTGAAAAAAAAAAAAAAAAAAGATTTCCTTACTTAGTGTTTGTCTTGTTTTCCACTACAAATATCTAAACATTTTTAAATCAAGATACATTTACCTGAGAAGCAAAATTACATATAGTCTTGTTTTCTGGAAAATGTACCATTATTTAGTGAGTTTATGCAAAAACAAATCTCACGATCAGAAAAAATTCAAAAAGGAAAACATTTATTTTTTTTAAACTACTTTTAGATATTTTTTTCTTGTTTTAAACAAACTCACTAAATTTTAACTTGTTTTTCAGAAAACAAAACTTAAAATTTAGCTTCTCAAGTAAATGTCTTTATTTAAGAATGTTTAGATTCTTGTTGTACTGTTAGTTGTACTGTAAAATGCAAAACTAAATATAACTGTAACGAATCCAGTCCACTGAAGGCGAGCGTAAGTGAGAACCCAAGTGCAGTTTATTTACAGGTGATCCAAACATCCAAACATAATCCAAACAGACGAAGACTATATACACAGACTTGACTTGACTTGACTAGGCATGAACAGACTTGACGAGGCATGAACAGACTTGACTCACCGACAGCGGGTTACAACATCAATACACGACCAGACACAATGGGAACATGATGGCTACTTATAGCAGACAAGGAGGGTCACATGACATGAACAAACCAATGGGGAACAAGACACATGACTAAGACTACCAATCAGAACATGACACATACACAAGGCAGAGATACATGAGGGCAAGGGAAGCATGACACTAACAGGGTGAAACAAGTACAAAATAAAAGACATGGAAAACATGAACATGAAACAAAACCCAAACACAACATTACAATAACAATATAAGACAAAAATACTAAGATTTGTTTTTTGCAGTCTAGACAACAAAAGATCAAAACCAGTGTCATTAGTTTAAAATAAATATAGCACAAGTGCACTTTTCATGGAAAAATGCATTTGACAAAAATAGTTTGTTAGTCGTTGAAATGATAAAAAAGTAAAAGCATTATGAGACTGTGTGGTTGCCAAATGTTCCTGAGATGTTTTTTTAAGCTTAAAGTGACATTGTTACGCTGTAATTATACAAATAAGTACTGAGTATTATTGTAACACTCGGCCTAAATAAGGCAGGCTACACAAATAAAACTGTCCTTTTACCTCTTTAAAAAGCTTGTTTGAATGAGTTAAGACACAATAAACGTGTGTGTTTTCGGTTCGGCCTCACCAGTGCAGTATATTGAGTCCGGGAGCACGTAGAGGAACAGCGCTGTCCTGTGACGAAATCCAAGATAAATAGTCAATTCAATTCAATTCAAGTTTATTTGTATAGCGCTTTTCATGATACAAATCGTTGCAAAGCAACTTTACAGCAAATTAAGTTTCTACAATATTTAGTGGTAGCTTATCAGTGGTAAACGAAAGGTTCATTCACGGCCCCCATGGCCATGACGTGGTTACCCGGGCATATAGCAAGTTTATTTGCAACAGGACAGTCATGAAGTTCGCAGCCAGAATCCTTGGTTGTAACAGACAGGACTGAGGGTTCATAGGTAGCCTCCTCGGCTGAATCGGGACAGGAGAAAAGTTCATAAGCGGCCTCCCTAGCCATGACAGGACAGGCAGGGGATTCACTAACGGCCTCCATAGCCATTACAGGACAGGAAGTGAGTTCACAGATGGCCTCCATAGCCGGGCTCCGCTGTCGCCACCATTTTGTGAGCGTGCTCTAGTGCGCTCGCCATTACACGAGTGAGTGCAGGGTCGCGTTCCTCCGTGACACCCACAGTAAATAGAGAGCCAACAGTCAACAAAGCATAAGCCAAAAATTGGCTGAGTGACAAACGCGGACCCTCGCGTCTTAGCTTAGACTGAAGAGGTTGATTAATGCCATCACAGAAAAACTCTTATCAAAATAATGTCTGGTAACTCTGAATAGTGAGCGATGGCTAAAAACTCTCGAACATAGTTCTCCAACGATCGCGGGCCCTGTTTAAGGGCTAATAATATTCTTGTAGTGTCCATTCCTGGCCAGTGTCCACTTGAACAGCTGCTGGATCCTTGTGTGGCCGAGTATTCTGTAACAAGGCAACAGGGCGGAGGCAGAGAGTTCACTGACGGCCTCCATAGCCGTTACAGGACAGGCAGAGAGTTCATTAATGGACTCCTCGACCGGAACAGACAGTTCACGGAGATTATCACTGGGCGCCACCACCGCGCAAGGAACTGAGGCAAGTGCCGCCGTCTCAGGAGGTTCTGCAGCCTGCGCCGCCACCTCTAAAGAGACTGCAGCGGACACCATGGCCTCTGGGAGCACAGCAGCGGGCACCGTTACCTCGGAAGGTTCCGCAGCATAAGCCGCCACGTTACAGCATTGTAGCCGGTGCCGCCGCCTCTAGCAAATCGGCGGTGGTGTACATGGCCCAGATACACCATAGAGCAACCCCACATACGGGAAGTGTTGCAGACAGGGGAATCAGTTCAGGAACAGGGAGGTTTGAGAGCGCTGGTTTAGGGATACCAGCTGCATGTGCTGACACCAGCGGTGGATCCTCCATGCTAGATGCCAGACAGGGATACTGAACTGACCTCGAAGATCTGGGTGCAACAGACAGGATGTGATGAGACTCTGGAGGATCAGCAGTAGCTACGCTAAACAGCATAAACGCTAAAACAATACTCGGCCGTTTGAAAATGTGATGGGACTCTGGAAGATCAGCTGTGATGTGACATGATTCTGGATGATCAGTTGTGATGTGACGTGACTCTGGATGAACAGCTGTGATGTGACGTGACTCTGGATGATCAGCTGTGATGTGACGTGACTCTGGACGAACAGCTGAGACATGGCAAGACTCTAGAAGATCAGCTGAGACGTGACGAGGCTCTGGCAGATCAGCTGTGACGTGACGAGGCTCTGGCAGATCAGCTGTGACGTGACGAGGCTCTGGCAGATCAGCTGTGACGTGACGAGGCTCTGGCAGATCAGCTGTGATGTGACGAGGCTCTGGCAGATCAGCTGTGACTTGACTTGACTCAACTTAATAGGTAGCAAGTGCAGAGACTGTAAAATTGGGGTAATGTGATCATATTTTCTTGACCTGGTAAGGACTCTAGCCGCTGCATTTTGGACTACCTGTAGCTTGTTTATTGAAGATACAGGACAAGCACCTAGCAGTGCATTACAATGTATCAGAAACAGGTAACATGTTTCGTAACTTGGCAATGTTTCTAAGATGGAAAACTGCTGTTTCCCTTTCGATACTACACTCGTACTGCATCTTGCTAGACGCATATGGGAAAAAGCCTTTTTTCTCCTCAACTGAAGCCTATTTCATTCACGCAGTGAAACTGCACGGCCATTGGTTCGTGCAGGGCTTTAAAAACGAACCAATGGCACGGCAGCGGAGCTGCACGAGCCTATGGCGACGAAGCCCGCCAAAAGGATCTGAGTGAGTGTTATATAGTGTGTGTGATTGGTTTCAGGTGAACGTGTGATTAGTGAAATGACTACTGGGAAATGTAGTCCGGGGTGACATGTGAAAGTCTGTATAGTGAGAGAGTCACTAAAATGGAAGAGCGACCTCTGCTGGCAATTGGACGGAAGCCCATGAACCGGATTCGTAACACAAACAGACGATGAACACTATTAACAGCAATTATTATATGATGCAATCACCATCTGGCGATTCTGAAAGAGCTTATTTCTAAAAGGTAAGCCCTAAAAGAGCAAATTCTAGCGATGTTGTTACAAATGTCGCGCTGCGAGTGTGGCTCGTGCAGGGAATCTTGCACGATGCAGAAGGGCAGTGAGTGCGTCACCTGTCTGGGCAGCCCCCACACAGAGACTGCTCACTCACTGAGACGGAATGCTCTCGTTGAAAGCATGAGTTTCGCCCTTCTCCACTTGCAAACCGCCTTCACTGAAGGCAGCCCCGCTCTCCCGTTTCTCCTCTCTCAGCGAGCCTCGGAGAGGGAAACAGCGGAGTCAGGGAATAAGCAACCGGGTTAACCGATCGCATGCCGGAACTGTGCCTGCGTGCTCTCTCTACCCGTTGCACTCGGATCCGCCGCAGAAGGGCAGTGAGCTGTGCGCTTACTGAGACAGAATGCTCACTCAGAGCATGAGTCTCGCTCTTCTCCACTCGCGGACCGCCTTTCACTAAAGGCAGCCCCGCTCTCCCGTTTTTTCCTCTCTCGGCAAGCCTCGGAGAGAGAAACGGCGAAGCCTGGGAACTAAGCAACCACCCCTGTTCGTTTGCGGAAGACAGCCCGCCTCCCAGCTCTCATGTTTCTCTCCTCCCAGTTACCTCGGAGGAAGCAACGGCGAACTCGTGGGTTGAGCGATCAGGCAGAGCAATTTCATGCCGACACATCAGGCGTGCTTAATCTGCCAGTGTGTGTTACACGTGAAAATCAGCGCTCCTCGTTTCACAAGCAGCTTAATCCTCCTAGGCAGATCAAAGCAAAACGCTGGCAGCTTCACATTTGTGTGTGCGTCGCTGAGCCCCTGCTCACGGGTATGAACGATTAGGCTTGAGTGATTTAATACCGGCAAAGCCCCCGCATGCATCACTCTCCACGCAGCTCTTTGATCTGACAGTGTGTTTACACGTGGGGATCGGTGCCCCTCATTGTCGAGCGGCTCAATCCTCCTGGGCGGTTTGCAGCAGAATGCTGTCACCAATGATTCAATATCGCTGACAGCTTTGTATTTGAACGCGCCTCTCGCCTGGGTCACGCCCATGCTGAGTCTGCGCTGCTGAGACAGACCGCTCTTACAACTAGAGTTAATGTTTCGCTCTGCTTTGCTCGCGGCTCACCTTCTTCAATGAAGACGGCCCCGCCCCTCCCCTCATCCGCTACGAGCGGATTTGAGAGAATGCGCGAAGCATTTTTGATCTGCCAGAGTGTTTACACATAAAGATCATCAAAACTCCTCTTC